TATGAGAGATATTTAAAAACAAGTTAGGCAAAGTCTATTAGGAATGATATCGGTACAACTCATCCTTTTTGGAGGACAACCGCTAGAAGACTCAGTCCTATTTTGACATAATTTTATGTAGTTCAAAATTCTTAGCTCTCTTCTTTTATATTGAAGTTATTTGAGTATCTCTTGCATATGCATCTGCATAGACACTATGGTTTTGAAGCTTCTGGTATGTCTGCTAGGTCTACTATGTTGCTGCTTGCTCCTCTAACAAAGAGAAGACTTGTGTCTTCACTGGGGTTCTTGTAAATGAATATTGGTAGCAACACCCTGTTACTTGATTTTACGTCTCAGATCCCACTAACACAAGGTGTTAAAAGTCCCTGAAAGCATGCTTCATCTTTTGCTAATCCTATTTAAAGTCAAGGACTTTGAGTTTTGACTTTCCTCTTTGTTGGTTTATGAACACCTACTGACAGAACACTTTTTGTATCAGGGCCCTGAGGACACTACTAGGCCCCCCACTGGGGCCTCCCATGAGCCCAGGACCCCATTTCAGCTCATCTTGAGGATGTCAATCCTGGCCTGAGATATGCTGTAGAAGCCTCTGTTTCCTGTGCTAACACTGTCATGCTTGTGTCTGGCCATGCTGATCTGGGCCCTGCTGATCTGGACCCTGACCATCACCTGTTCGGGCCCCATCACCCCAGAGGTACCTGATACCTGGGACTGCCCCCGGCTGCAGGCGGGACAGGCCCTGGCAGCCATGGGGAGCCCCGGCTGCTACCAGCCGCCAACCCACAGGGAGCAACAGGCCCATGTGGCACCCAGACATTTTGTATCTGAAAACTAGAGGCATATAAAACCCCATCTTTTACTACTGAAAATACAAACCGGAACACATTTTGTTCTGCAAAATAAATTTCTTCTGCATAATTATGGTAATTAATAGACTGAACACTAAAATAGTATTTTTATACACTGGTGTAGAGAAAAGGCAGGTAATATTGTTTTAAGGATGACTACGAGATAAGTTTCATATATGAGACACACCTGTTTAAGCACAGCAGTGTGTATTGACAAGCTCCAGCGCTCATTACAAAATATGGCTGAGATATTTCCCTATATAATCCTTCACTGTCTTTGAGAAACAAAAGCTCTAACTAGTTGCCCAGCATGCAAAGAATAACATGCAATGACAAAAATTCTTTTTTGGGCACTAAACAGCGTAAGTGAAATAACTGGCAAATTCTTAAGCAAGTCATGAACTGTTTTGTAATAGTTGCTTGTTTCATCTAACAAAAATTAGTTTTCAATACAACTCATTTTTTTCCCAGTAATAAATAAGCAAACAGATATAATTGAAAGTATAGATGAGAATATTTTAAATACTAGGCTATTTATCACTGCCATTGGCTACGTGAAAATAAAATTATTACTTGAAAATCCACATACACCACCTGAACACTGGCACTGAAGACTAGAAAGTTTTCCCGACAAAATATGCACAGAATGTCCATCTCTGGCTTTTCAGTTCTTCCTGCTCCATACACAACATGATGTTAACCACCACTGGTTGATGAGCAACTAGGTTCATTGACTAGTTGCTAGGATAAAACAACAAGCAAACTACTGCAGAGCTAAGGGAAAGACTCATGTATTTCAGCTTCAAGAGGTATTGGAAGATGTCTGTAATCAAGGCATTGAAAGAAGAAGGAAATAACAAGCTTAACATAGTTTAAAATGAGTCCATTTACTAAATAGAGTTTGTCAGAGTGTATCCATTTGCTAAATGAATTCCTACTGTTGATAAGAATTGCCTGGACCAGAGAAAGACAAGAATAGTTTACAGCAAAGAATAACTCACCATTCCTTTTGGGAGATGGATGGATGAAACACTCAACCTAAGTATGGAGACACAGATCCAAAAGAAGAGTCAAATTCTGTGGAGTACTCAGGTCCAGATGAAAGCGGTTTTGGAATCAGACCTGTCGTGGCTGATATGGAGGTATGCAAATTATTATCTTTCCACACCTCCTCAGTCTAGTCAAAACAGTGAAAGATGGAATCAGTACACAGCAAACAAGCATACCTGAAAGGAGTTTCAGATCCTGGCTTTCTGCTAGGCAGAATCTCTGTAAAATGCTTGCCAGTATTCCTGTAAAATGCCTGCTAGCACAGGCAAATTGACCTCCCAACTTGTTACCCTGTTTAATTCCTCCATGAAGAAACTGGAGAAGGTAAGTAGATGACTTACCAATAAGTCAACATTGTAGATGTCACATGGCTAAGTTTCACCACTCCTCAGGAGAGCAGAAGCTATTTGGTTTTCCCTTTGTTGTTTATATGTTATATGGCAATGGAGCTGCGTACCTCCACATACATGCCATTCTCTGGGAAGGAGAATCTTGCACATGCTGTGGACCAAACGAAGCAGTCCAGGACCTTGTGGTGCAGGAATTGCTCCTTTAAAGCTCACTAGCCAGTAACCTATCCAAATGGGCCTTCCAAATCCTGAGAGATCTGTTGTGACAGTTTTTTTGATAATCTTGACAGTTGGAGGAATGATCAGTCTCTGAAAAAATAACTCTTATTCTGGCAGGTAAACTGTATGAAGTCAGAGCTGTACAACTTGGATGTGAAACATGGCATACGCATATTCCTCTTATTCTGGCAGGTAAACTGTATGAAGTCAGAGCTGTACAACTTGGATGTGAAACATGGCATCCGCATATTCATAACATGCTGAAGGTCACTCAATATGAAGAGATTGGGCACTGACTGTATATACATACATACATACATATGAACACAAGTAAACTACAGACTCACATGTAAACTGGTATCTTTCTGTAACTGCTGGCAGAATATTGGCTAACTTCACCTTCCTGAATTTGAACGCGTGGATACATAATTTTAACTTGCATTTGACTAAGCTGGGATGCTTCAGAGCAGGTCCACACACAGTTATTGGGACAGAAGAACCCTCATAGAATAATAAAATTATTGTGGTTTAAAGAAACCTCTGGAAATTATCTAGTCCAATCACCTGGCTCAAAGCAGGATCAGCCAGAGCAGGTTGTCCAGTCAGGTTTTGAATTTCTCCAAGGATGGAGACTCCACAACCTCTGGGCAACCTGTTCCAATGCTCAGTTACCCTCACAGTGAAGAAATGTTTTCTTGTGGTCAAGTGGAACTTCCTGTGTTTCAGTTTGTTGTCTCTCATCCTGTCACTGGGCACCACTGGGATGAGTCTGGCTCTGTCTTCTTCACATTCTCCCATCAGGTATTTATTAACACTGATAAGACTGCCATGAGCCTGCTCTTCTCCAGGATAAACAATCCTAGCTGTCTCAAACCATCCTTATATGAGAGATGCTCCAGTCCCTTCATCATCTGCATGGCTCTTCACTGTACTCGCTCCAGTTAGTACATGTCTCTCCTGTACTGGGGACCCAGAACTGGACCCAGCACTCCAGATGTGACCTCACCAGTGTTGAGTAGAGCGAAAGGAGGTAATGCTCTTCCTAACGCAGCACAAGATGCTGCTGGCCTTCTTTATCAGTCCCTGGCGTACACCAACACTGACTAGCCACCAGCTCTACTTCGTGCCACTGATCACAACCCTTTGAGCCTGGCAGTTCAGATAGTTTTGTTTATGAGGATGTTATGGGAGACTATTGAAACCCTGGCTAAAGTCAAGATAAATACCCACTGCATGCCCATCATGTACCAGCTCAGTCATCTCACTGTAGAAGGCTATCAGGTTGATCAGTATCTCACAAAAGAGTTTCTGAAATAGGCTGAGGCCAGCAGTTTGGATGCAGAAAGGCAGAAAAACAGATCAAATAATCAGGAATAATCTTATTCAGAAGCCAAGCTTCAAATGAAATAGTACTCCATGATGGTAGATGACAGGCCAATCAGGTCCTGTGCAGTGGAATGACAGAGATACAGGAAGGAGCAACAGAGGAGAAACAGATGCATTACTCCCAAGTACACACTTAGTTTCACCAGTCTGCTAGGCAGATTGTATGCTTCTTCATTATTAAACGTTATCTTGTTCTCATTAATGCTCTAGTCAAACAAAGCTTAAAGATCAAAAACCTATTTGGTGTTCTTGGTGTGCTCACATCAGAGAAGAGTGGCAGAAAAGCACACCTCAAGGTCTCTTCAATCTGCCAAACACACAGTGGCTCAGATTTTTAGAAGTATTTTAGGTGATGCTCTGTTTGGCACTTGCCTAGAAGCCTAAGTACAATTTTTAAAACTGCCATGGCAGCTACTTCACAAATCCCATCAATTTTGAACAAAGTTGTGGTTCCTAAAAGCTGAATGCCTTAGACAATGGTCAAGTTGTTATGACTTAAAAAGTAAATATGCTGCAATTGAGCCGTCACTGCCGCTAAAGTATGTGCTTTTAGCCCAGGTCTCTTTTGGACCCCATCTCCTCTTAGGGCCTGATGTAGTGTAACTTTCAAAGATTCTTTAAGAATATTTCTTCATACACTCTGAAGATGATGATGAAATTGATTCATAGACTACCTTATTAATGTTTTCATAGCACAATGATGAAAGCATGTGCTCTGTCCTCGGAGCACAGCATGAAGATGGTAGAGAGTACAAGGCTTATTAGGATATATAGTTGTTAGACAGACGGAGTGAGACCTTACGTGATTCTGCCCAAATTATCTATAAAAAGAGTCTGATTTAGTCACCAAACCTTGCACGGGAAAAGATCTGGCTGACCAAGAAGGAATTCTGGCAGTAATCCAGTATGCAAGCAGCATGGGCAATGTAATTACATTTTATATCTCTTTTCATGTAAGCAAATAAGATATTAAATCTTTCTGGTTAGGCATGAAAAGCTCACATTTTCTACTTAGCATTATTAGGACAAAACATAGATGACTACTTCATTACACAGAAAATTATGGTAATTTCTCTTTAAGAACAAACTTACCAGCCCCAGAGCGTAAACAGATGATAAAGTGATTAAAAAAGATAACTCCTACCTAGTGCAGGTCCCACCATTGCGACATGGATTATAATCACACACTGGAACATTGCAGTTCTCAACATTCCTTCCTCCAAGAGCCTCATCTATGATGAACAACTCTTTGCTGTTAACTTGAAAATCCCTAATGCATCCTTTATAGCCATGTATCTGTCCAGCACATCGATGAACATCTGCGTGAACAGGAACATTTCCAAGGAAGATTGATCCAAAGGTGATCTGCAGAAACAAGACGAGAAACATGAGAAAAGAATGTAGCTTATATATTGCATGATGTAACTATGAGCAATGGAGGAATAATAAGAGATAAAGGAAATAGCCATTATGTGAGCTGGACAAAAACTATGATTTTTGGTTGATGATTTGGTTGATTAAAAAAAAAAACACTATGATTTGGTTGATTTTAAAATGCAGTTTTCTCTTTATTTTATTTTAATTCATATGATAAGATTGTTTTTATGTGTGCCTGTATCTTCATATGTGTAAATACAACATACATCCTAGGAAACACAAATTGGAATTCCATACCTTAAACACAACCAACATGGCAAGGTTACCCTTACTCTACACTATGAATTTTACATTTTTGGTTCTGTGTTGGTATAGAAACACTTGTCAGAGAATAAAGATTAGAGATTAGATTACAGAATAGATTAGAAAGTAGATTAGAGAATAAAGCAATTCTTTAGGATCTGGGAATTATGGCACCTCACAATAGACAAACACTTCACGTTTCTTGGATGAGTGACAGAAAAGAAAAAGGACTGCTAAGCCGAAGCTCAAAGGAGAAGGGAAAGTTTAGCAGTGGGGAAAGGCAGTAAATTCTAGCATCACAAAAAAGCCTAGCAACATCCTGATGGAGGTGCCAAAGAAACACCCACAAGTACTCCATACTAGCCCACAAAGATACTGCTCAGTATGGTATATCCCGTGCTACATGATCTAGAAGGCAAACCCTTGTCCATTACATGTATAGGATCTGTGAGTCATTTCGCACTGTGAACCCCCCTTCTAAAGCTGAGTGCCTGACTTTTTGGAGTTCTAACACAGTTTTTCACCATATCTAACTTCCTTTGTTAAATATCTGAAAAGATCATCATTTTTGCGTGTTACCTTCTGCGATGCATACACTTGTACAATACCTACAACCCACAAAGTGCGTGAAACCTAGTTGATCTGAGTCAGTAGGAATAAATCAAAAGGGGAACAAATATATCACAGCATGTGCAGAAAGAAAAGATAGTTTATTACTGGGAGCCCTTCATTATCATCTGTATCAACTGTGAAGATCTAGAAACAGAAGGAGGAAAACATCACATTGACTCATCTATAATTCACACATCATATGATTTTGCTTTGCTGTTTCCTGTATGGCTTTTCTCACACCTTGAGATATGTTGCTGACAATCTCAAGAGAAATTTGGAGATACAGTGAACATGAATACCTCCAGATATTCCTCTATTTACAGTATCCTTCATTCAGAAAGGAAAGAAATGAGCTAAATCTTTTAGAGCATGGATAAAACTAAATCAGATTTCTCACATGGAATGAATTCAAAGACATTGGCTAGGCACTGGTCAAACTCATTTTATATCACTTGACTCTATCCCCTATCAAACAAAGCTATAAACCAGCAGTTTCGGACAAGATTTGTAAGTAGTATTTGCAGATATTTTCTCTCTGCTTGTGAACCTATTACAAGAATCAAGCGAAGAAATAGACTGGAATGTAGAATGTCCATGATTAAGAGAGGTGTTTTCAGCCTTCTTCTTGCAATACAATCATTTTTGTTCCAGGACTTATTTTGCAACGGCACTGACCTGGGGGCAGATCCAGTGCACCACAGAACAAATTCAGTAGGCTCTGCCTAGTCTCTCGCATCAGCAGTTTGCGTCAGAATATTTTAGATGTTCAGATGTGTGCTAGTACTACATAATATAGACTTCTTTCTGTAAAGGTCCCATTCTGAGTTAAACCAACACAACCAGGATATATTTTAATGAAGTAAAGGGCAAGAATTCTTGTAATTCTGGTTAATAGCATAAGAGGCTTAGCATGTAGACTTTCCAAACACTAGTTTGAAAATGTCCTTCTTCACTTGGAGCCTCAGTGATAAGGAAGATTAGCTTAGCAAGTAAGGGGAAGAAACTCACTAGCCCTTCTAGAAATAAAGAAACTTATTTTCTTTCCTTATTTGTGTACCTAAAAGGAAATTAAGGGCTCTGAGAGAACAGTAGCAGATCTGTAAAGCATAGAGATTGATCATGAGGATCTGATATTCACAGTATACACCATGTGAAGGGTTTGTTCTGGATTAACTATAATTTGGTCCCACGAAATGGCCATTAGTGGTTACAGCACATTAGGTGCATTCATAGAAAGCACATTTTGGTACAGTTTTATCCTCAATGAATTCAGTTCGCATGCTCCAAGACTGCTTTGCAACACAAACCAAAGTGTAGTAAGTTGGATGATAAGAAGACTCACTTAAAAAACTCACTCCTGATATGAATCAAACCATAACTGCAGATCCACCCAAAAAGAAATAGAGAAGAGTTATGGACTTTCTTAGGAACCAAAGACATTTCCTGATTGGGGCCAGAAAGTTTGTGTTGTGTGATCCTGGAGCATGATGTCAAAACTGGTTGTCTGAAAGTTATTTTTTGAGTAAGGCATTGCTGGCTTCTTCACATGATTAGGTGCTGATGATTAAGCTTTTTCCAGAAGTTTTCTTTACAGAAGCTGCCAATAGTGCTAACTTTATATTACACCCAAGGGAGTTATGGTCATTACACATCAAGGAAGAGACAAAGAAACCTTCTGCAGTGGAATGTCAAGCTGATTTTCTAGAAGCTATGAAC